TCAGGGGCAATAACAATCGGGGCACTCACAAGTTTTCTCTTTAATTCATTAAAAGCACACAAACAAGCATCATCAAATATAAATGGCACATCTTGAGCAAGCAAATGACACAGCGGCTGACTAATCTTAGAGAAATCTTTAATAAATCGCCTATAAAATCCTGCATGCCCCAAAAAACTCCTAATCCCCTTAACATTCACAGGAGGGGGAAGTTTTTCAATAACATCTACTTTGGCCTTATCGACCTCAATCCCCCTACAAGAAACAACATGCCCTAAGACAACTCCACTTCTGACCATAAAATGACTCTTTTCCCAGCTCAAAGTCAAATTGGACTCAATGCAACGTTCAATGACTCTAGATAAATTACGGAGACAATGAGAAAATGAATCACCAAAGATAGAGAAGTCATCCATAAATACCTGTAGGCAGTCCTCGAGCATATCTGAGAAAATGGAGAACATGCACCGCTGAAACGTCCCCGGTGCATTACATAGGCCAAAGGGCATCCGTCTGAATGCGAAGGTGCCAAAAGGGCACGTGAATGTCGTCTTGGGCTGATCCTCGGGTGCTATGGCCACTTGGTAGTAGCCGGAGAGTCCATCCAAGAAACAGTAGAACTGGTGGCCCGAAAGACGGTCTAGGATCTGGTCAATAAACGGCAACGAAAAATGGTCCTTCTTGGTCACTGCATTCAGTCGCCTATAATCGATGCACATGCGCCACCCGGTAGTGATGCGGGTGGGGACCAACTCCTTCTTATCATTCTCAATTACGGTTATGCCACCTTTCTTTGGTACCACATGGATTGGGCTAACCCATTCACTACTCGCCACTGGATAAATCAATCCTTCCGAGAAAAGTTTCAACACTTCCTTCTTGACTACCTCCATCATGTTCGGGTTTAGCCGTCGTTGGCTATCCCGAAAGGGTTTTGCTCCCTCCTCCAAGATAATCCGGTGCATGCATGTAGATGGGCTGATTCCTTTGATGTCTCCTAAGCTCCATCCAATTGCTTTCTGATACTTCCGGAGCATGGCTATCAATTCCTCTTCTTCCTCGATGTCGAGCTCAGAAAAAATGATCACCGGTTTCTATTTGGCATCATCCAAGAAGACGTACTTAAGGTGCTTGGGCAGCTCCTTAAGCTCAAATGTGGTCTCAGCTCTGGAATGGCCTTCTCCCACTTCAAAAAGTTCAACTGTAGGCTCCTCTTCTTCCTCAAAAACTGGTATTGACACTTCCTCGAACTCATGAAGTACCATCTCATTGATAAAGGGGTCGGTTTGATCAATGAAGGCGCACTCTTCTACAAAATTGACCGAGGATGCGGACCCGGCCTCTCGAACGGAAATAGACACTGATTCCCCAAAAACTGTCATATTCAGGGTTCCGTTCTTCACGTCGATAAGAGTGTTAGTTGTTGCCATGAAGGGTCTCCCGAGGAGGATGGTGTGATCCTTCCCATTCTCGTGCACATCTCCAACGTCTAAAACAACAAAATCCACTGGGATGATGAGCTTGCCCACCTTCACGAGAACATCCTCGACTATCCCCTTAGGGTACCGAATGGAACGGTCTGCTAACTGGAGGCACATGCGAGTTGGCCTCAAGTCCCCAAGGCCAAGCCTCTGAAAAATCGAGAAAGGCATAAGATTAATTCCGGCTCCGAGTTCAAGCATCCCCGAAGCTACCTTCCCGTTACCCAAGGCGATGTGGATAATAAAGCCTCCTGGGTCACGCTCCTTCTTGGGCAAGTCGTGCTGCATTGCACTTGCCGCTTCGTACACAACTACCTTTTCACCATCTTCAAACTTCCTCTTCTTGGTCACCAAGTCCTTGAAGAACTTACCATAAGATGGCATATCTTTTATCACATCAAGAAGTGGCAAGTTGACATTCACCTTGGAGAGCATGCTGAAAAGATCCCGGAACTGCTTTTCTTGCTTCTCGTCTCTCAGTCGGTCTGGAAAGGGAACGCGCGGTTTATATGGATTAGGTGACTTATGTAGCATCGGCTCGTCAGTTGCCTTATCGGGCTCTGCTTCCTTTATCTTTTCCGAATGAGTCTCCTCCTCCTTGGGCTCGGGCATCTCCACCTTGTTATCCACAACCTTCCCGCTTCTGAGTACCGTGATGGATTTGGCTTGCTCGGGCTGGCTAGGTAACTTTCCTTTGTCGGATTCGGCCTCCATATGCCCGACCCTAGTGGCTAGCTGTCCCAGTTGTGTCTCTATGCGCTTGATAGAGGCCTCATGATTAATATTCCTCTGCTCACTATTGGCCATGAATTGAAGGATTTTGTCAAGCTTGTCGTCTTGGGGAGTCGAACTCGATCCTGCCCCCGGTGCTTGCTGCTGCTGCTGCTGCTGCTGAGGTTGGTAGTTCGGGCGTGGCACAAAGTTGGGTCCAGGTTGTTGCTGGGTGAAATTCGGACGGGGTGGTTGGAGGGTGTTCGTGTTGTTTGACCAAGAGAAGTGGGGATGATTTCGCCATCCCGGGTTGTACGTATTGGAAAACGGATCATTGCCTGGCCGATTCTGGTATCCCTGTAGAGCACTAGCATCCATAAATTGCTCGCCCGAGTCCTGATCGAATGATAGGGGACACACTTCGGATCTATGCCCTGGGGCTCCACATGCCCCACATGTTTCAACGGCCATAGTTTGCACCGGCTGAGATCCTCGTGCATTGAGCATCCTCATCTGTTCAGTAAGCTCTGCCAGCTGTTGGGCCACTAAGTCATT